TGGTCCAACTGCAGCGCAGTGGAGACAAACGTCCACGTAACGGCGCAGTGTATGGTGGCACAGATTTTCTGGCGCCTTGTGGCGCATGCCTTTCCTGACGCTTGTGTGCGCCCTTATGTCAGTCAGGGTCGTCGGCCGCGAGGGAATTTCGCTTTCCTTGTAATCGCGCAGGCCGAGTGGGTCCTGTGGCGCAACCGTTGCTCCTCGAAAGTGCGGCAGCGTTACCAACGGGCGATGTGGCCGCTTTTATGGAGTCTGCGACAGGAGCTGGTCACTTTTTTGGAGTGTGAGCTGTTCCTCCTTGGGAAGTGCGAGTTCCTGCGGCGCTGGTCGTGCCGCTACCTGACGGTGCTCAACGGCCAGGTGCATTTGATTTGCCTGCCCTTGGACATGTTGTAATACGGGCACTCTGGTTCCGCCTCGCCGGCTGCGAAGGCCGGAGTGATCATTGCGTCGAGTAAACATTGTTTTGTGTAGAGCATGCATCACATGTGACCTTGTAACATTGTAAAAACTCGCAATGGTGTCAAATAAATTTTTCTTACCCTGAAACCCCTTCCACCGTACATGTTTCGGGGTTAAAGGGACAGTAACAGGGTATTTATGCTCGCCGAGGTTTTTAGTTGCACGTGACATATGAGAGCCCGACTACCCAAAACAGAATTTGCGGCTCGAAATTCTTTTTTTTTTTCCACTCGAAAACCGCCGATCAAGAACTGGCCGGTTTGAGTCACGCTCATTCTTTTTTCCGTGCTCACAGGCAGTTTTCTAAGGTTTCGACGCAACCACTAAATTTAATCAAAGTCGTGGGTCATTGAAGGCACATAGTCAATACTAAAAATAAAAAAAAAAATTAAACCCATTTTTTTTGTGGCTTCCAAAAAGCTGCAAATACGTTGATTAAAAAAAAAAAAAAGTTGCACAGACAACCGTAAGCATTCTGTGCGTTCACTGCATAACTCTCAACATGGCGTCGTTTCGCGTTTCCTGGGATTCGCGGGTGGCAGCGTACGACGGGCGTGGGACCTCTACTTTATAACCTGTTCACGGTACCAGCGAATTCTGTCTTCGTTCGAAAGAGAAATTTTGGAACGATCAAAAGAATTATATTCATCCCGTACGACACGCCCGACCAGCAAGCCGATTGCACGAAGACGTCGCCGAGCCGTCGACCCTTCTCGTGGCTGAAGACATCGCTCGTTCAAACGTCAAGCACGAAGGGCGTACATCGAGTTAAATACGAACGCGTGCGACTTCTTTACATTGTGCGAATGTGGCCAATGCGTGGTGCTGCCCGACTTCAAGCCGGGAGTACATGTACTGGAGGGAAAGCGGCGGCAAACTTTCCGACATAAGGGCCGCCCACACTAGCGAGAAAACGCGCCCGGCGCGCCGATAAATCGGTTAAGCGGGAAGATAAAGGGCGTGTCTCTGCACGCGCTCGTGGCGCTGACTGTGCTTCGGCGACATTTTGTTACTTGCCGCGATCGGCGTGCCACGCGCGTTTTCTCGCTAGTGTGGGCGGCCCTATACAGTCGACCGGATGCATTACTACGATCGAAAGAGTTCCTTCAGTAGCTCAGTGGAAAGACGTCCGCTTCACACGTAGCGGGTACGGGTTCGATACCTCGATGTGTTTGCGTCTGTCTTGCAAGTATCGTCAAATGCGCCACTGCACAAGGCCCGCGTCTCGAGTCTCCCCTTGGAAGCAAATGGCGGCGCAGCACTGAAATGAGCGGCCTTTGGAAGCGAATGGCGGCGGAGCACCCGCTCATGGCACGTGTCTTGCGCGTTTCCACAACAATGGTTGACGCTACTTGAAAACATGAATTTTATCGAGGGACTTTATATTAGCTCGGTTCTCGAGTACGGATAGGTGCCACTTTTTCAGAGCAGACTCTATGGCAGTTTCCCAACTGTGTGGTTCTAGTAACGTTGACTTCTAGGCGAGATTGCCACGCGTTGACGCCACCAAGCAGCTAGGCTCGCAACAACAGTACCCTTGACCGTGCATGAACTGTTGACGTCACGAGCGCGATACGCATTGCGCTTCTCTCTGTCCGACTTTGAAGCGAGGGGTAGGGAGCTCGGGTTCACGTCACTTCCTTTCCGTACCCTTTAAAGGCATACCACCACCATCACCTCGCCGTGGTGATGGAACCTATAGACGTTTGTACTGTTTACAACAATCACACTCCACACGCGCTGAATCACAGTCCAGCCAGCGCTCGCTCGCAATTGCGGCAAGCCAGGAAGTGCACTTGCATAACACACGAACACACCAATCAACGCGCCCTTCTAAGCTTTTATGGAAATGTGTATAGCCATAGCCTCCTCTATACTCACAAAGCCTGTCAGTTCGACGACGGAGCCATAGAGTGCCCGGTCGCAAATTTGGAGCACGAGGATCTGGTAGCACAGAGCTTCAAAGAGCACTTTCTCGGGGAACCTAGGGTGCCTACATGTCTGTCTGTCTCAGGGTGAAGACATCCATTGTTGCCCCGAATGTGCCAGCGCGTGACGCTCTCGCGCACTCGGTGCGTGACTTGGGCGGTGAAATGGCGTCTATGCATTAGCCAAAGCTGCGCGCCCGAGCTGAGTGACACCAGATTGCGCGCACTTCAAAATGCATACAAAAAACAATTGGGCGGAAAAATGGCTGAGATGTCACCACTCAAGCAAAAGCGCGCGTGTGTATGAAGGCACTCTAGGGGAACCTGGACGTCAGCGCACAGCTTTTGTAGCGGTGAGGACCCGAAACACACTTGTTCGCTCGGGAGAAGTGTTTCGGCGTCTCGCCGCAGCGGGGCGCCAGTCACGTGGCTCTCCTCTCATCCGTTGTCTGCCGCTCCACCTTTTCCATTTTGGCGGCCGCTTCTCGTGGTGATCTGCCAGGCTTTATCAGTATATAGGAGGATATGGTATTAGCGGCGAGATGTTTCGGTGGCGCCCTCGTTTGTTTACCTTTCGTGACGTCACTACCTTGTGAACAACAAGTTCAAAGGTGTTTGTAATGAGCAGTTGGAAGCCTCAAATCATAGCGCTCTCAAAGCAACACTGCCAACACCCTCGAAATAGAAGTTCTTACATTCCTCTTATTTCCGTCGATGAGAAATCCTTTGCTGACGTCATAGTCAGCATTCGGCCAATTGTGGTGGGTCGACCACAGCGACGCTTTCGATCGCTCACGTCGCCAATAGCAGAAGCTACAAGCGCGAGCTCCGGGCTTTCAGCGTCCCTGCCAGGCACGTGCGCTTGTGCAGTGCAAGCACTGTTCAGTTTAGACTATACTCCGTCCACCCCTAAGCTGATAGTGCGGTGGAAGCTACGTGCTTGTTTGAACAGTCATACGTCGACCTTTATAGCCACGTGACCACGCACTGGCACCAACGGGCAGAGAGCAATGTCAGGTGATGTAAGTGAGGCGGTCAATCGGTCCTGCGAGTGCGTAGCTTAGTTCTACCGCACGTGTCACTGGAATGGGCAACTCAGTATTCTGACGTCACGCCTTATAAACCAACTCAGTCCTCTGACGTCACGCCACTGCGGTAGCGCTGCTGTCGGCATAGCGCATGCGCAGTTGCTTAATTAGCCTCACGTGAATCTGGTTTCTGCGCGTGCGCAGTGCCCAAACCTGGTGTGGGCAAACGCCGGCTGGTTTGTAAATGCTGTGTTGGTGTATATGGGGAAGGTGCCAACGAAGCAGGCGGCACGCCTCTGTTATACGCCTACTTCAATTAGGCATACAGGAGGTAATGCGCCCAACAATTGTGATATCATATATTAGCTTCTGAACGGCAAGTAATGGTTCCTAATATGTTTATGAATTATGAACATATTATTTTATATACGTAACAGTAAGAGAGAAACATTTGAATTGCAGTAACGCCACAACAAAAGTCGTTGGTTGGTATCCGGAGGCCCGTCCGTGGGAAGTTTGCTCAGAGAAGTGTGGAAGTCGGTTTTAAATGTGACTGAAGTGTTCATAGATATGGACGAAAAATATCCCTACGAATTCCACAGCACGACCTAATCAGTTTAATAAAGAAACGCTTACGCAGTACTAGACGGTGCAAAATGATATCGCATTTCAGGGACAAACTGCGCAGCAGCTTCGGCAACAGTTGCTGAGTAAGGAACTTTGTTCGATCACGCTTTGGCTGCTTTAAAACAATTATGAATAGCCCGTCGTCCTGTAGCGAAATTTTCGCCGTCTTCGTTAGAAGTCGTTTCCGCGAAGGCAACCGCAAGCTTTTCCAATTTCTGGGACGCTAAAAGGCGTTTTGAAGCGGCTGAAAGCTGTCAATTTTTTTTTTTTAAAGGCGGTTACGAGGAAAACCGAACGGTCGTATGACTTTCAGAGCAGGCTTTGAATCAGTTCATCCGTTTAGGCCGAGTTTAAACAAGAGAATTGACAGCGACCTTTATCTGCAAAGTTCTATACTGCATGAAATACAGCATTTGAGGAGCGATTATTTATATTTGGTTAGAATACATTAAGCACACATATCGGGAAGTGAGGAACCTATATTTTTCTAATTTATCCGCTGAATTTAACCGGGAAACTGACTTGATAAAAAAAGTGACGTGGATTCAATTTTCACGCCAAATTAAGCGAGAACACTGAATTGGTGAATAGGTCACGGGACGTTAATTTTCCCGTTAAATTTAGCGGGAAACGCAAGAACGGACGGACGAACGGAGAGACACAATTTTAGAATTGCAGAGTTCGGTTCAAAAGCATTCCATGCATTTAAAATAAAGAAAATAAAAGAAAATAATGGGAATCTAGAGTATTGATCAGCAAATAATGGGATTCTAGATTATTGATCAGCGTCCAAGTACCCCCGGTTCAAAAGCATTTCAGGCTTTTAAAATTAAACAAAAAGAAAATAATGGGAATCTAGAGTATTGATCAGTGTCCAGGTGCCCCGGATTTAAAATCATTTCAGGCCTTTAAAGTTATATATAAAAAAAAGAAAAGATAATTGGAGTATTGATCAGCGTCCAGGTACCCCAGGGCTACAAGGCGAACAGCGGGATGAGACGACGAGTTCCGCAAGGAAAGTGATCAGGGCCACGCAGAGTCCCGCTACCAGCAGCTGCATCACGGCAGCGATATCTTGCAGCTGTAGTGACGAAGCCATCGACAACGGCTGCCCCTGCGAATCGCTCAGGCCGCCTGACTTGCGCTGACTTCTCTCGACGAGCAGGTACTTCCACCTTTGGGCGAGGCCGGATTCCGCGATCCAGCGAGTCCTGGTTAAAGACGGAGTACGAACTGTGAGCGAAGTGCGAAACATGCGGGATGTGCTAAATACTCTTCAATGGACGTATGTATATGTATGTATGTGTGGCGCACCCTATTTAAATCGAGAGTGATACTGATAATTCAGCAGCTTTGAAAGGATGAATGGGTCTGAACCCTTTCAGTAGGGCTGCGGCTTGCGCCACCTACCCAAAGGATGGATGGATGGATGAATACGGCTGAGCCCTTTGGATCGGGCGGTAGCTTACGCCACCTAGCCATTTTGTTTTACCATTTAAAATTAGAATATTTAAATGTGAAATCTATATTCACTCGGCAGTGCAAATAAAGTGAGGCTATGAAACCCCCTTGCCATCAGTGAATAAGAAAATACCTAGTTTTCTCTTGATTTCTGCCACCATTCACTTAATCTTTGCTTGGTAATCTCTACAGTCTTGAAATCCACTCTCCCTTCGCTGTCTCTAAAACCCAATGACTTTATTAAATCTATGCTGTCTTCGGTAGGCATAGGGTGAAGCCCTTTACAGTAGAGTATCAAGTGCTCAGCCGTCTCGTCCTCCTCTCCACAAGCAGTGCACACTGTATCAATTTCCTGGTACTTCACTCTGTATGTTCTGGTTCGCAGAACACCCGTCCTCGCCTCAAACAGCAATGAGCTTTCCCTAGAATTGTCATAAATGCTTTCTTTGGCAATAACTCTTTTGTTTAATCTATAGCTTTCCAGAGCCGTCTTTGTCTGCATTCCCTCTAGCCACCGATCTCTTTCTGTGGCCTTAACTTTCTTCTTAACTGAGACTTGCTCTTCCGTATCTTCGCTATAGCCCAAAAACTTTCCTCTTAATTTCCTAGTGCGCTGTCCAAACCATCGGGTGTTGAACGCCCTCTAGCGGATGAAACAGTAGTCTAACTTAGAGTTCTGCACGGGTACCGGCCAGCCCGCGGGCGGAGCTCGGGCTTCACGGCTATATTCATGAAGGTCCCGGGCCGGGCACGAGCCTTGGATTTAAGTTATATACAAGGTGGGTCGAAGCGGGACAGGTCAGCCGTCACTTTTTCCCCCTCTTTAATTATTATTATCATTTCTTTTAGCACCAATGTTTATGAAAGCTTGTTCGGGGGGTTGCGGGAGGGACCACAGCGGACGAGGTACAAATGTTGAAAGAATGTGTGTATGTGTGTTTTTACAGCTAGGTGTCTGTGCACCGAATGCTCTGCGAGAATACCAGCGCCGCGGCGTTCATTTTCGTCGCCTGCGGCGTCACTGCCGTACAGTCGCTTCTCCGCCTCAACATGCACATATAAGCGCCTACACAATGCGTACCCTCGGGGGCGTACAGCATATGTACGTACGAGTGTGCTGCGTGCCTCTACAACACGGGTGAAGAGGTTCCTCTCAAGAGTGTTTTTCCTAAACAATTTCACACAGACCACCACAAGAGACAGAAATATTTCTTTATATTTCTTTTTCTTTCCGGTTTTTCTACACAACGGGAGTGGGTGTCCGTCTTTTGTCCAAACCCGTCGTGAGGTTTCCATTCTTTTGCAACTTTGGCACATGGTGCTGTTTACTGTTGCTTGCCATTTTTATTTGTCAGACCTTCTCGATACCCGTGCTTGCACTCACAAAAAAAAAAAAAAGCACAACACCAACAACAATAAAAGTGACTTTTTTTCTTTTTCTTTTTAAAGAGCTGTTTAGTTTTGCAGATTTATCCGACTAATAATAGCAACAAAAAATGAAGATGCTTGTTTTAGTGAGTAGAAAGCACCGTAGTCAACATCTGAAACAGTGGCGAGCTGCCACGCCGCGAAGTTTGTGAGCTATTCATACTGGGCGAAAATAGAGCGGGACTCAGCGGGCACGTGAAAATTAGCTTCGGGCCGGGACGGGCCGGGCCGGCTGTCATAAATGGCTAGCAGGCTGCGGGCGGGCCCGGGCATAAGAGAAAGCGGGGCGGGCTAAGCCGGGCTCCTAAATATCGGCCCGTGCAGACCTCTAGAGCCGTTACCTTGCACACTAATGACGAAAAGAAAAATATTGATATATTTTCGGTGATCATGAAAACAATATGATCTTAATCCTTCAAATATTCAGTTGAATTAATATTTTTTTCCCTTGCGGAGCCTGGGACTATTTACACCTTTAACCGAAGAGCACCTAACAAAGGAAAACAAACGGTAAGCTGGTCGACAGTTAGTCACGTTATCGCATCGAACAAATGAAGACCATGGAAGAACGTGACGCCGAGCGAACCTTAAGCTGGGGTCACACTGCTCAGACAAAGATAGTCTGCATACAGATTCGAACCTAGTCACCGCGAGATCCGTGCTTCAAATGCTGGATGGCAATGAGCTCAAGGAGAAAACTTGACATTCGGCATTAGAACCACGGATATTGAAGTGACTGGTGTTTGCAGACTGTCTTTTGTATGATGTATGAACAGCGTGACCCCGGCTTTACCGCGCCCTCACACTGCCCGTACATCATACAAAAGACACGGCGTCTGTCTGCAGACACGATGACAGAATTATTTGCGGACACGCCTTGAGCACATTCGATCGAAGCACGATTGCTTCATGCATGCTTGGAACACACGTCTACAGACGGACTTTGTATGACCCATGTGACCGGGAGCGTCATACGAGGAAGAACACACGCCTCAGGCAGTGTTTGCACACTATCGCTCGTGGTGTGCATTAGCAATGTTACGCGTAAGTTACCCGCGTGCATCGAATAGATTCAAATGAGCATACCGAATGTGGATCACTCTCGCAAGTTGAGGATCCACGTTTCGGTTGAGCCACATGCACATGGCCGGGTACAGGACAGCTTCCCTGGCCAGGTAGAACTCCCCATGGGGCAGGCGCTCGTAGAATCTGCCGACCCAGTAGTGGAACAGCATCGTGTCCAGGAAGATGACCTTCCGGCCGGCAAGGACGTCGTCGAACACGGACTTGGTGAAGATCTGGCGGGGAGGGAGGACACTCTGCGCTTGTCGGGCCCGTTTCAGGAGCAGCTGGTGGTCTCTTCTCGTCGATTCCTGCAGATGCGCAGGCGATGCTTCGTTTAAGCCGCGGTCACACTGATAATGCGTCGTGCAAAAAGACACTCTGTAGACACGTTCGAAACCGTCTGCGAGCATATTCGAAGCTTACACATTTATGAAGCGCTTCGAACACGCTTGAAGAGAGTTCGCTGACACTTCTGTCGTTATGTCTTCAGTGAACATCGTGTGTTTTGTATGATGTATGGGCTGTGCGACTGGGGTTAGGTGACTATGCCAACGACCGGTCGGCAAGACACGCCCGCACTGGCTCTGGAGATGTCACGTACTACAAGCGTTTACGATGGAAGAGTGTAAACGCTTACGATGTCTCCGGGATCCATGACTAAGAACCCTGGCAGGGAAGAAATCATTCCGGATTTCGCTAAATCTCGGACCATCAACGCGAAGACGGCTGGATTTAGCGTGATGTAAGCCTCGCCCACTGGCCGAATCGTCTCAGCCTGCAGATGTCTCTGGAGACATCGTATTCACTGTGCGTTACAAGCTACAGGACTCCCCGTAATCAACCGAGGAACTGACAGGCTCGTTTTCTGCTTGGACACTTACTTGGAAGACCTCCTCGAATGTGCTACCCCTGATGATAACAGGAGTCACATCTGGGTGATCCACGACGTCCTGCACACTGTCCAGTCTGGGCAGTTCTTCTTGCACCGTCATGCTGGCCTTCATGTGGCCCGTGAAGGTGTTCATCAGCACGATGAGCATCAGCCACCAGAAGGCAATCACAATCCGGATGTGGGGGTCCATTGTGGTCCTCGGAGAAGCTGCAACAAGTCTTTCGCTAAATTGCCCAGGTACCAAGAAGCGTACTGCAAGTGTGCTTGCACGCGCTGCACGGGCTGGCTTCTGGAACCGCGAAACTGGGAAATGAACAATATATAAAACAAATGCCACTTTGCATGAGTATTCGTCACCCCTTATTTTAGTTATTAACTTCGAATCTTTCATGTAGCTTAGGCAAGAGTGCACAGCATAGCAACGTTCTCAACATCCTATAGCGTGCCCCCCCCCCCCTCAATTTTTTTTTTATTGCGAAAATAAATTACGAATCGCTGAACGCTCATATTACACCCAAATGTAGCGCTAGCTGTGCGAAACATACCGAAGTTTCAGATGGGAGGAGAATGAGCGTTCGGTGATGCGCAGTTAATTTTTGTGGGGAAAAGGATTCTGTAAATTTTCGGGCCCATTTGTTAAAAGATGGAATGTTTCTGGACGAACCAGTTTTGTGATTAAAGGTACTGAGTGGCAATAAATCCAGTTCAGCCACAAGGCTATAAGCCGTTATTGGGGTTTGCAGATGAATAATTTTAATTCAAGATGCTAACACCACTAATGAATGTTATGAATGATATGATATAGAAATTCTGCTCGAATTTATTTTCAGAAAGAATTAAAATAAAATTTGGCAAATTGAATACCTAAACAAATCAACGAGACCAAAAAGAAAATCAAGCACACAAGCGGTTCTCACCAAAGACAGTCTAACCTTACAAAACTGGGTTGTAACCGAGAAAAAATGTGCTTAATTCATACTTTACAGGACGCCATTGTGAGAAAAAAGATTTACGGTTGGGTTCTGTTTTTTGTGTCGCGATTGAGTAAGTAAGCTCATTTTATACCGCGTCGTAACTATTGTGCGGAAGCCAACCTTTTACGAGGTAGTAGCTCACATAGAATCTAACTAAATTGCTTATTAGGTTTTTAAATCGTTGGATACCTTCGAGGACCAGGTTTCCCAGCATCTCGAAAATGCGGTCGTAAAGGCGGCCCTTGAAAGCTGTGAAATTTTTCGGTTGACCGCGCAGTGACAGCCCGCAACTGAGGAAGACCACTAGAGCCGCAATGATCAGCCAGATCTGCGGTGGTGAAGGTAGTACACATTTAGCTTATCCGCGCAACAGCATGTGCATCATCCTTCAGCACTATGTTGCTATTGACTAATCCATTCTTTCACGCCTTTGTAATGTATTCTACCTAAAATACACAAAAGGTTTTTATGTCAAAGGCTTAAAACTAACACAACATCAGCGTTTTTTTTTTTTTTTTTTTTTTTTAGGCAGTGACGGGAAGCAATAGAGAGTTCTCGTAGATCGTTTTCGCTGTCCCACAACGCTCCCCGCAACCCGCTACGATACCGGGAACTCTACAGCCAAGGCCATCGGCGCGCAGGTGCAGTAGTGCCTTCTTCGTTGCGGAGGGCTTACCGGAGGGGGAAGCGCAGTCTGGCGAAAACACCCAATTATTTACCGCCTCGCTGACTGTCCCGAATGAAGACTTTCCGCTACACGAGTATAGTTTGTCACAGACAAGGTCTCGTAACATGACGCTAGAAACACGTGACGTCAAGTCATGGTGTCACAGGATAACATGACGTCTCGCGACGTAATCACGTGACGGGCCATCACGGTGTCACGTGCCACCATGACGTCAAGTGACGTGCTCACGCGAAGTGCCATCACGATTTCAAGTTGTCACGTGAATTGACGTCATGTGACGCCATGGTATCAATTGACGTCAACTTTCTCGCTATATTAAGTGGGGAAATGCACGGATTGAGACTTATGCACAAACGGGCAAATCTCTGGGAGTTCCGTTAAAAAACATCCCATTCCTTAAGAAACGGGGAAAAAAAAACGCACTGTTATGAAACAATATGGCCAAATCAATAGATCCTTTTCAAAGGAGCGCCCCATCTAGTGGTTGCTGCGCTCATTATCGGAGTCTGCCTTTATTAGGGCACGCACGTACTCTAAGTAAGACTCGGATCGCACACTTCGTGCCCAAGAAATGGCGACCGCCGATGTTGTTTGATCGGGTTTTGAAACAGGTGTTTAGTTGACTGTTCATAAGAACGACTCTAGCTTCTTGTGTGCCGACAGCCCGCAGCCACCGCGCGCGCGTACTTCGCTCACCTGAGTATCAAAGCCTCCGATGTGTCCCGAGACGTTGGTCCTGAAGCTCACGAGCCTTCCGGCCGCGTGACCGGCCGTCGTTTCAAAGTAGTGCGGAAGCGGCTCGGCCACGGAGAAGCGGTCTTCGGTCGGCGTCACCGGACCGATGGCCAGGTCCGCTTCCTTCACGTTGGAGGAGAGAGTTTCAGCCGTGCTGAAGTACCCGAGGTTGGGAAGGCTGCAAGCCGCGGTCCGGGCTCCCTTCTCTCGTCCCCGTGTTTTTAGACCGTCCTTGCGTATGCGTGCGTGCGTGCGTGAGTGTGTGCGAGCGTGAGGGCGTGCATGCCTGAGTGCGTGAGTGAGTGCGTGCGGGAGGGAAGGAGTGTGAAAGTGTGTCAGCGTAAGAGTGGGTGAGTGAGAAATTGAGTCAGTAAGATAGAGCGTGTGAGTGAGTGAATTTGCGAGCGAGTATATGAGCGAGAATGTGAGACAGGGACATAGTGATCGCTGCAGTGAACTCACCATCTTGTAGGGTGGCGGGACATTTTTATATTTAAAACAATAAAAGTAATAACTTCCATAGTTGGGAGCGTGGTCGTAATAATATCCTTCATAGAGTATGTTTTGTACATACTTTGTACGTTTATGCAGTTTAGAGATATACTTGCATTTCGTGCGATCATGCCCAGTTGACCTGCCCATTCACCGTCTGTGTTTCGACCGCCCCAAACATTGTCTGGTGGAAGGTGAGTCGTGTATCTGGAATAGCAAACAATCACTAGGAAACTTATCCCGCATTTTAATTTTGCTATCTGCTAAATATCGTAATAAAAGGTTAGTGTATCAACGATACAATTATATCAAAGAAGGCCTTTAAGCGCGTAGCACCCACGGCCGACTACTAGAGAAAAAAAATATTTGACAGTCAACATTCGGCATTTTCTAAATGACGAAGTCAAACAACTTCTCGCAATTAAAACATACGCGGTTTCATTGCAAACGTGATATGAGGGTCTCCATATGTACAATCTAGAATGCCTCAAGACTTTTTTTTTTAAATATTTGTAATCTACAGGTTACATTCATTTTCGCATTTTCCAACTCTCTGCAAGTATATCATAACTTGTAGAAATATTGGAAACAAAACTGAAAGCCTTTCATTACACCGTAACCATAATTCTCCTTGAATCTGTTGCACGCAAACATTGGCGATTGTATGCGAATTTATCTTAGCCAAAACCGGGGTGGAGAATAAAAATCTAGATGATTTAAAGGTTCCCTGAGGGGGTTTCCAAGATCGTCTAAATATGGTAATAACTGTGCGGTCTCAAAGCATTCTAGAATTCTATAAATCATATCAATGCGCGGTCGATTTCCCTATTAAAAAAAAAAAAAAAGAACAAAGATCGAAAAAACACCGAGGCCATCTCCGGAGATAGGAGGAGCATTGTTACGGCAGCTAGGACGTCATGGGACCAATGGAAACGCGACATTTTGCTGAGATTGCAAACGCTGGTTATTACAAAATCTGTATGATTTTGTAGATTATAAAAAGCAAACAAGAGTAGTCGAAAAATGTTACTTTTTTCTCGGAAAGAGAACATAATACTGCAATATACGTCTTAAAAACCGCATACAATGTTTTCAATGATAGTGCGAAAGTAATAACTATCCCATGGGGCGGAGCCGGCGGCGGCTGTAAACGCGAAAAACGAGGAGAAATTCCCATTCTCTCATTGGCTGAGCGAAACGGCACCTTAATGCCCATTGGCTGTGACGCGTCATAGTTCCAAGGAACACCGCTCCACAGAGAAGCCCTCTCGTGGCGCTGCAGCCCGCACGCCGGTAAAAGGGAAAGGGTGGCGCGCACGCGGCCACCTCTCTATCCTTCTTCTCGGGTCACGTGTTAGGTGTGGCCGGAGGCCCGCAGAAAGGGGGGGCAATCACCAATGTTTACGTGTAGGAATGCTTTCGCATTCCTACACGTAAACAGTTTTAAGTGTCCTTCTGTAATTTTTTTATGTTTTTCTTTTCAAGGGAGTGATGTGTCCTGTCGTCAGCTCTCGAGCGCGCACTCGCTGGGTTGAATCGTAGTCCGGGCTGTATGGGCAACGAGCCGCGCGCATTCGAGATATCCCTCCGCGGTTCCACCGGTCGAAGGCGCGAGGATCCTTCGCTCGCTATCGGCTGACAGTGGTCCTGGTTTCGGAACATGTCCCTCCCATCGCCGGTGATGACCCGGTGGGTTGCGATCTTTGATTGCTCTTTAATAGGGAAATCGGCGACGTATCGTTATAATTTAGGGATTTTTAGGACGCTTAGAGCCAGCAAAGTGAGTTACCGCGGTATTTAGACAATCTCAGAAACCTCCCCAGGGCACCTCTTTAAATCGGGACTTAAATCAGACCAGGTTTACTATGATGATTTAAATGAATCCTTTCCCGCAATTCGTAAATTATTTTTTATTACGAAGACGAGAAAAAACAAGTGCTTTTCTGAACAAATCAGAGCTTTGAGCTTTCTTCTTACCCTAAACTTCGTTCGTGAGTTACGTAACATCGTATCGGCAAGCAAATCAAAAACTGAAAGAAAAAAAAAAGAAAAAAGAAACGCATTTTATATAGCTAAAACGTAAGCTGTTTTTGCTTTACTGTGGCTGGGTTTACATTAATAAAAAGTTAATAATTAAACAGTAGTTTAGGTTACAGTACCTCTTTCTTCCGCAATGTTTTCAATATAGAGTTTTAGTATTCTATATAGGAGCAAGCGCTGTGCGTTTGCGCTGCCGTTGCGTGCTCCATGCTGCTCATGCGCGTTGTCGGCGTCAATTCAAGGCCATAGTTTGGGCTCCGCCTTATATAACCTCCTTAGGCTCCGCGCACGCGCAGTGTGGAATACGGAACGCTAACGCAAACGTACAGTGCTTTTCGTTCGCTCGATACGCAATACTAAAACCCACTAGTGATCGGGCGGATTGATCAACCAATCTGCCATGTTTAAAAATACATATAGTGACAAAGAATCACTATTTTCTTGCTACAATAATTTAAATCAAATCCGTCTGATTTAAATAAATAAGTCTGACTTAAATAAAAAATTAGATTTATTTAATTTTAAGACCTGATTTGTTTTTCTGCTTTAACCAAAACTCAGGAACGTCGCTACAAAAAAAAAAATGCATAGGAACCTTTATGTGCACATGAAATAACCTCACAATTTAGAAATTAACGAATACTTGAGCCTATGTTGTTTTCTGAGAAATTATAACCTGGAAGGAGCATGCCGATTATTATCTGTACTTGTATTCACCTCAAAAACCGTAGCAGAAGAGAAAGTCTGGCTCCTGGCGGAGAATTACTAATTTCCCCTTTAACGGGTGAAGTACGATGTACGTGGTGAAGTAAGATGCGCTTCAGATTAGCTATATGTTACCTTATCAAGACGCACACGTTTAACACGTCAAAACCATCGCTTCTTACCACAACAACCAAAATCGCGCGAAAACTACTCCGCGCAGCGCATGCACAATTCGTAAAACTAGATTTTTTTTTTTACCTGACAACGAGTATAGCTACCTAGTTACCAAGACGGGTTGATCTGACTTCATGGAATGTGAAACTTATATCTGGATACTTCTCGTGTTGCTGGGTGAAGTTCTTTTTACCAGGAGAACGCGGTGGATGGGGAATCTGCCTGTCTTTATTTCTTTGTTGTTGTTTTTTTCTTTGTTGTTCCTTAGTTTCGCGGCTGAAAGTTCAAAACGAGATGCAATATGCATGAGGGCTGTAGGTTACCTACTGGAATCCCATTGACTGATGAAGTAGCGACAGGGTATATCCCGACAAGCCTTGGAAGGTGACCGTTCCGTTCTCCACGGTGGCTCTGGAGAACGGGTACAGCTGTAAGGCATCGACAAATTAGTACATACTCAAATAGGGAAATCGCTAAAGTGTTCGTTTTATTCTACACCATTTCAAACGTTGCGGCTGAGCGAAAACGATCTGATTTCTCCCTAGGTGGCGTCTTCTATATGTACACACATTCAGAACAGATAGAACGAGGCGTAAAAGCTCTACGCCGCGGTCAGACTGCCGCTACATCATACAAAAGACAGTCTGCAAACATTTTCTGGAGTGTTTCGCTCCTTTATCTCGGTTCTGTCATCATGTATGCAGGAAACACCGTGTCCTTTGTATAATGTACGCGCAGCGCGACTGCGACTTTAGGCTTCCCGGGACGCGTACAGAAGAGACACCTGCAAGACCAAAACCCGACGATGCATCAGCTGGGCTGCAGGAACGACGCTGCAAGACGTTTCTTTCTAGTAGAACTGTGACGTGAATCGATTAACCTGCAATAAATTGATCCATTCATGCGTCGATTAATAATAACGACGTATCATCTCTTAATCGATTAATCGGTCTGAAGTGGACCGCACCATACGGATAGAAAGAGAGAGAGAGAGAGGGAGAGGAGGAGGAGATGAGAGGGCGCGGGGACATCAGATTGCCGAGCTTTGGTTGGAATGATAGAGCTCTATAGTTGCCCTTTGTCTCTGCTCAGTCCAACCTGAACTCAGTGCTCTCCTGGTGTCCCAGCGCCCACTCTCATATCTTTCTCTCCCCTCAGTTGCTCTCCGTGCAGGGTTGTCATGGCCATCATCTTTGTCGCTACCGAACTAAACATTAAAAAAAAAAAAAAATGGATCACTGCCGAGAGTCTGCTCGTTCGGTGCGCCATGTTTTCGAAGTATATAGAACTGTGAACTTTCTTAACCTTCTTCAATAGCCAAGGAAATCCTGTGTGTTTTGAACAAGTTCTGGGCCGTGTAAAAGGGTGCTTAGCATAACAAAACGCGTTGTTAAAAAAAATATGTATATATATATATATATATATATATATATATATATATATATATATATATATATATATATTTGAACACGGCGAAAATGAATACCATCAAACTAAAGTGATTATTTTGAATATAATTTTAAGATTCAAGGTGCCATTTTCAATCAACAACAAGAAACAACTCAATTTTAGATTTCTTATTAAATAATAATTACAGCGTTATTTCCAACATCAATGTCATTCTAGGTAAAATCGACCAGAGTGCTGTGGTTTGGGAATTATTATTGGGTATGATGGAAAAGGTGTCGATACCCCCACGAAAAGTGTTTTTATTCAGAAAAGGTGACTATGATAGTATTTCTTTAAAACTTTCACTATACTTTCCTTACTTTTTAGATTTCAGCGTGGAAAATGATGTTGGGTACTTATGGGAAATTTCCAAACAAAAAAATATTTTACTCTCCGAACTCACATACCATTCAAAATTCTCTAAGCGAATAAGAGACATAAAAACCGTGGGTTACTTACCCCATACGAGAACATATATCAAACGTAAACGTGGAGCCTATAAAAGTTATCGAACGAGTCTGCATGATGCATCGAAGCAAAAACTTGAAGAGTTATCTAGGAACCTTAAAAAAGATGTAGAAGAAAGCAAACTCATTTTCTATGAGTCTTTTCAAGAGAAACTGATAAATGATCCTCGAAAATTCTGGAAATTTGTCAAAACCAAAAAAAAAAAAAAATGAGAGTTCTATTTCTGCTTTGTTACAAAATGGCAATTTAATAAAGGGGGGCGCTGAAAAGGCCGAATTTTTTAACGCTTACTTTGAATCAGTTTCCACGCCTTA